TGATTTACAGACCGTACTTTGACAACACAGGGTGGAGAAGCTGGAATAACAACAGGAGGCTGTAGGCAGCAGAGGGTCATGGAGGGGGGTGTAGCTGAGAGACACCACGTCCTGTCTCACTGTCATCAGACACCGTGGAAAATCTTGTTTAATGCAGCTTTAAATTGGAAACTCTTTAGATACCAGAAAGTGTTGACGCTTACTCTTTTGTGGCGGCAGGTCCAGCAGGCTCGTCTGGAATCAGAGGAGTACTCTCTGAAACTGGAGATGACACAGAAGGAGGTGTGGGAGGTGAAGGTGAGCCTGGAGAGGGAGAAAGAGCAGGTGAGGAGGGAGCTGCTGGGCCGGGTCCGAGAGCTCGAGACGCTGCCAGACAGACTGAGGAGGACCGAGCAGCAGCTCCGAGACGCCCAGCAGGAGGCCGATGCTCATGAGAGGAGGAACATGGAGCACACCTCCGCCATCTCTGAAGTCAGACTCAAGGTATGTAACACCCTAGAAGCTACTTCACAGCTCTGAGAGATGCAGGGGAAAAAATCTGGGTAAAATCATGGAAGATGAATCACGGTTTTAAACCAAGGTCGCAACCCAAAAACAGCTTGTTTATTTGAGTGACCTTTAGCAGACGACATGATGTTCTCACCTGACATAAATCCAGAGTAGAATAGTTTTTATAAATTCTTTGCGGCCTCATCACCTCTTTATGGTGGAGTCTTACCTCACTCGCTTGACCTCAGCCAAAGTCATATTAAACTTGTTTGATATTTTCATTGTATCTTGTATAAGAAGTAAATGCTGCACAGAGATGGATTTCTACAGCATTATGGTTGCGACTGTTAATGTTCCTCCACAGGTGGAACAGCAAGGCACACAGCTGGAGACGCTTCAGCAGAGAAACGTGCTGCTGCAGGAGGAGAACAACGTCCTCAAGGAGAAAATTCACAACCTGGAGAGGTAATAAGACTGGGAGGAACTTTTAGTGAACGTCTAACAGCAGGAA